TTTCTTTTTTTTGAGTTGTACCGTTTTACGATCAGAATGTGCCGTCCCCCAGGATGCGAGCTATCTGGGCCAGCACACCACCTGGGTCGGCGCACGTGATGACGCATGTAATAATCCCCTGGCCAGCTCTTCGATGGGCTCGAACTGAATTACCAACCCGCCTTGCCGTAGGTCGCCATTCGAGTGGTCTGCAAATCTCCAGCGGCGGGCCTTCCGGTTTTACCATGGTAAGCAGGATGTTCTAGAATGTCGCCCATGACGGCGCTTGTGGGGCCTCTCGACCGCGCCCTGGGCCGTGGGAGAATGATTTGACCGCACAGGTCGCGCCGTACGTCAACAGCATTATACAACCGTCGACATTGGCTACAGTGGTCTTTGCGGGCCCATGGCGGTCGTGAACGCGGGCCTGCACCAGCCGTTGGGGTTCGTCGGTAGGCTATGCCAGGGACTGATGGCGTAGCCCGTGTCGCGGCGTTCGGAAGTCTTCGCCGGCGCGAGCCCGGCATACACCTCAGTGTAATGGACTGGTTCGGTATCGTGACGGTGGAAGGCAGACTGTGTTGGGGGGGGTGGGGGTGTGGTGGGATGTGGTGTGTTGGTGTGGTTTTTGGCCCAGTACGGAACAGCTTGTAGCGGCATCGACACCCCTTCATATCATGGTAGGGTCTGCCTCGGCGTACCCATGACTCTGGCTTCGGCCAGGCGTCGGCGAACGGTGTCTGGCGGCGGCCATTCCGCGTCAGGATGTAAGTGGTGGTGCCGTTGATTATGATCGGATGGAACGATGTCGTGGCCACAACTGGACATCAGCAGCCGACGATAGGAATGTCCACTCTGCTAACACCGGTTTCGTCCCGCGCATGATTCCTCCGCCTCACACACAGACGGACCAGCCCTGTAGAGGCGTGTGCGCGCCCCTCTCCTGGTGCGCAATACGAGCACCAACGTGAAGGGACGCGACGCGACAATCACCTCTTGTTCGCGGTTACGCACACTGCCTGTCCCGTCGCTTCCCGCCGCCGAGCGCGCGCTCCAGATACTCACCGGCCGGCGAGTCGCCGCCCATGGTTTCCACCACGATGTGAACATCTGGGTCGGACAAAATATCTTCCGGATTGGTGGTGAGCACACCTGCGGCCGGTGCGGGTTGCCGGATTTTGGAGACGTCGCGCACCAAGGCACGCCGCAACCGGACGGCACGGCCAGTCTTGCGCTTGATGGCATCGGCGTTTTGCAGCAGGGCGGCGGCGACACCACCCCCTACGGTACCCATTCCCATCAACCCGATGTTGATTTCCCCGTTGCCCATTCCTATCGCCTGCGCCGGTTGGATTTACTGTTGCGGGGTCGGAGTAACGCGCGGGCGCGTCAACCGGACCTGGTCGGTAACCCAAGCGTAACGGTCGCTGTTGAAGTTAATCTTGACCCAACCTTCGTCAGAACCTTGCGCCAATTGATCATCCTTCCATTGATCCACCCGAGACACCGCTATCTGCACCGCCATCTGTTGGTCCACTTCCCTGGTTTCCGCCTCGCCGATTGCCTGCAAAATGATGATGGCTTCATCAATGTAGATCGAATCGGATATTTCGCCAGGTTCCAGCGAAGCCGGACTCTCTTCGTCACCGAACAGGTAGGGGTCGAACTCGGGGAACGCGCCTTGCGGCACCCAGCCGATGTAGCCGTCGGAGCCGCCCAGCTCGCGCGCCACGCTGGCGAAATCTTCACCCAGCACCAGGCGTTCTTTAACCGCTTCCGGCGACGCGGAACTGTTCGCGCTCAAAGCGATGGCCTGAATCTCTACCTGCGGCGTCTCTTCTGGAATAGACGACAACATGCGGGCAAATAATTCGCGCTCCTGCAGCTGTTCTTGCACAATGCGGCGATAGGCACCGTCGGTGAGGTTCACCTGGGTCTTAAAGTTCCCGTACCTGTTCTCAAACTCGGCGTCCAGTTGCGCATCGTCCACCTCTTGACCCGGTTGGGCCGCCGGACGGAAAATCGACTCAATGGCCTCGTCTATTTGCTCTTCGGTAACGTTAATTTGCAGGCCGGGCGCTGCCTGGCGCAAAATCTCAGCGTGCAGCAAATCGGTCAGCAGCTGGAATGGGATGCGACTGAAATCCACCTGTCCGCCCTGGTAGCGGTTGATGCCTTGCAGCACCCTAATGCGCTCTACCAGGTCGCCCATGCTGAAACGCTCACCCCTGATCTCTCCGGCCATTACACGTGGCGGACGGACAAACTCCTGGTAAACGCCAAAGCTGACCACCCCTATGATGGCCAACAGCAATACCGCCCCAACAATTATGGCGATGCGCTGACGCCGAGCTTCCTGGCTGCGACGTTGTCGGGCTGCCGCTGCATTCTCGTTGCTGGTGGCGCCAACACGACGGTTACGCCCTCCCCGGCGCCGTACCGGACGGGGGCCCGATGGCTGCGGCGGTTCGGTTTCGGCGTTATCGGCGCTGCGTTTCCAAGGCAACGGCAGGTTTAGCATCTTAAGAAACGTTGACTACCTACCACCGGGGCGCATTCCGACGTTGATGCTGTGCTCAGGGGCGTAGGGCAGCAGGGCGAGGAAGCGGGCGCGCTTGATCGCAGTAGCCAACAACCGCTGGTTCTTCGCCGACGTTCCCGTCTTGCGGGTCGGGTCAATTTTGCCCTGCTCCGAGATATAACGGCGCAACCGGTCAACGTCCTTGTAGTCGGGCGTAACCTTCTCAACCGTGAAGTTACACACCCGCCGACGCGGCCCATACCGACGTCCGCCGCCACGCCCTCCAGGTCCGGTGCGCGGGCCGCCTCTGCTTGGGGGTCGTCCACCACCGGGACCACCGCCTCCAGGACGAGGTCCGCCCGGTCCGCCGCCAAATCCACCGGGGCGTCGGGGCGCTCCGTCAGCGGGAGGATTGATGGGGCCGCCGGCAACGGGCGCCGGCGGGGGCGCCGGTGTACCAGGAGCCGCGGAGGGTTCGGGAGCAGATGAAGGGGTGGGGGTAGTCATTAGCGAAAACTTCTCCAGTCCTGGGTAATTCGGCGCCCATAAAACGGCGCCCTCACAGTCTAGACCGGCAAGTCGTCAACATCGGCCATGGCTTCGTCGCCACCACCGCCGTAATTGTCGCCGCCGCCGTAATTGTCGCGACGCTGGCCGGCGTAACCACTGTCTTGCTGCTCACCGCGCGATCCTAGCATTTGCATTTCGGTAACGGTAACGTCCAGCGAGAACCCGGGTGTACCGTCGCGCCGTTCGTATTGCCGGGATCGCAGGCGTCCTTCAATATACACCTGCTGCCCGCGGGTCAGGTATTGATTGCACACATCGGCAAGGCGACCGAAAGCGGTGCAGTTAAACCACTCGGTTTCCTCTCGCTGTTCGCCGCCGGTCGTATACCGGCGGTTGCTGGCAATGCTAAACGACGTCATCGGATTACCGGATGTCGAATACCGCATCTCCGGGTCGCGACCCAGATTTCCGATGATGGTTATCTTGTTCACGAAAAGATTTACGCTTCCGCCTCGGCGTCGGATTCCGCGGTCGGTTCAACTGGCGGTTCGACCACTGGTTCAGGTTCGTCGACCGGCGCCGGCTCAACAGCAACTGGCGCAGGTTCGGCCAAACTGGCTCACCTACGGGTGCCGGTTCAGCAGCAACCGATTCTGGGGCGTCGGCTGACGGCTCGCAAACCGTTCTGCGCGACGGCGCTGTCGAGGCACGATTCTGCGCGACGGCTGACGGCTCGACAGCTACCGATTTTGGGGCGTCGGCTGACGGTTCAGCAACAACCGATTCTGGCGAGGTGGCTGACGGCTCGGCAGGCGCCGGCTCGGCGACGGCTGGCGGTGGAGTGGCGGGCTGAGGTATGGGCCCTCCGGCAACTGGGCCACCGGGAACGTCTGGAACCGGTCCGCCACCATCGGTGCGACGGCCACGCCCGGGCGGAATGTAGCGCGATGGCGCGGTCAGCGGACCAGGCGCCGGGATGTCTCCCATCGGCCCATCACAGCGAACGACCAGCGAACGCAACACCCGATCATCCAGGCGCAGATACGTCTCCAGCTCCCGGTTGAACACATTTTCGACCGCAAAGGAACTGAGGTAGTAGGCCCCCTCCAGGAAGTTATAGTTGCCTTTCCTGATGGGGTAGGCTAGTCGCCGGGTTCCCCATACCTGTTCGGCAGTGATCTCACCTTCGCGGGTTAGAGATGAACGACTTGATGTCGTCCCACGTCGCCGAGGCTTCGTCCTGGTTGAGCATGGGGCTGAGAATCGCTACGAGTTCAAAGTGGCGCAAGTTGTAGACTCCTAAGTGTGACCGGGCGTCAACGAATTATAGCACCTGAATTGGCCCACTGTCAGCAGGCCCCGCGAGGCGGCCGGGCGGTTCCCGCATTAATTCGGCAGCCCGCACTCAACCGTTACCGATGATGATATTCGTAATCAGCCATTGCGCCTTGTGCCCCTAATTATCAGAGGGTTAAGATATATTCCGTCGCGGTGCGACCATCGTGCATTAAATCGTAGGCTTTCCGTATTCATGACCACCCAGCCGCCACCCCCAAATCCGGCCCGTTTCCGTATCCGACGACCCACCTTTTACTACGGGTGGTACATCGTTCTTGCCACCGGATTTGTAATGACGGTGGCAACGGTGCCACTGTTCCCCATGACGCTGTGGTCGGTCGCGTTGGAAAACCACTTCGGCTGGACTCGTGGCGCGCTCTCATTGGCGTTGTCGCTAACCCGGATTGAAGGCGGGTTGATGGGCCCCCTGGAGGGTTACCTAACCGATCGTCTGGGCGCCCGCAAGATGGTGCTGTTGGGTTTCATTATTCTGGGTGTCGGCTTCCTGGTGTTCTGGAAGATTGACGCTGGATTTTGGCCGGTTAGCCCACTGTACATGTTCTACGTTGCCTACATGATTATGGCCCTGGGCCAGGGCATGGGCAGCTGGGTTCCCATGATGACCACCATCAACAACTGGTTCGCTCGCCGCATGGCAACCGCAATGGGCTGGGCGAACTGGATCAGCCGGGGCGGGGCGCTGATCGTCATTCCGCTAATGGACTGGGGAATCCACAGCAACATCGGCTGGCAGGGCACGGCATTGACCCTGGCCTTCGTCATTTTCGGCGCAGCGGTTCCGCTGGCGCTAATCATCCGCAACAGTCCAGAGGACATGGGTCTGCGAATTGACGGCGACGCCCGTCCCCCAGCGCGGGCGGGATCCACCGCCCAGCACACCGCCGCGCCACAGGGCTTGACCGCCCAGCAAGCGGTTCGCACCCCCGCATTCTGGCTCATTGCCATCGGCCACGGACTCACCAGCATGATTATCCTGGCGATTTTCACCCACCTGGGACTGTTTCTGAAGGACGCCGGTTTTGAGAGTCAGGTGGGACGGGTCGTAACCACCTATACGTTTGTGGCGATGTGGGCGCAGTTGATTGGCGGCTACATCGGCGACCGATATTCCAAGCGCGCCGGCCTGTTCATCTTCACCACCATCCAGGCCGCCGCCGTTGTGCTGCTCACGTTCAGCACTCAGTTGTGGTCGTTCTACGCTTTTGCCGTGGTGTTCGGGCTTGGCTTCGGCGGGCGCAACCCGTTGACGACTTCAATACGCGGGGAATACTTTGGCCGTGGGAACTTCGGCAAAATTCTGGGCATCAGCACCATCCCAATGAACATACTCCTACTGGGCGCCGGTCCTTTCGCCGGGTATATGTATGACTGGCAGGAATCCTACACCATTGCGTTCCTGGTGCTGGCCGGGTTCAACTTCCTCGGTGGCGTCTGCTTCCTGTTCGCCAGGAAACCGCAGATCCCATCGGCGCCGGATTCCGCCACGGCTCCGGCTACGCCGGCTCCGGCCCCGGCAGACGACGACTAGCGCGTTTGATATCGTTTCGCTAAATCCCTGCCTGGCATTGTAACGGCGGCCAGTCGCAATGACTGGCCGCCGCAGTGTTTCCTGACTCGCGTGCCGATTTAGGCGAGGTCGGTTTCAGTTATCTCGATGTTCTCGATGGCCAGGCGTTCGGCGGGCTGAGATGCCTCGCCGCCGCGGCTGGTTTGCACCGGAGAATTAGCCAGCGCGTCCAGGACATCATCGCCCTCGGTGAGCATGCCGAAGATGGTGTAGTTGGGCGGCAAACCCGCGTCGGCTCCATGGACGATAAACCACTGGCTGCCGTTGGTGTTGGGACCAGCGTTGGCCATCGCCAGCGTGCCACGAGTGTAGCCGCGGGTTACTTCTTCATCGCGGAATCGGTAGCCGGGGCCGCCGGTGCCGTCACCTTTGGGGCATCCGCCCTGGATCATGAAACCTTTGATCACGCGGTGAAACTGGTGGTTTTCGTAAAACCCGTCACGCGCCAGAAAAACGAAATTGTTCACTGCGCGCGGGGCAACTTCAGACAGCAACTCTACCGTCATCTCGCCTTTGCCGGTTTTGATGACAGCGTGGTAACGTTTGGTCGCTTCGATTACCAAGCCTGGTGGGTTTTCGTACTCTTTGGAGGGCATATCAGGTTCTCCTGCGAAGGGTTCGAATGTACAAACTGTTCCGATTATACCCCAAACATTCGCCACCGTGGATTTCGCCCGTTGCTCACGCGTACCCACTTTAATCTGTCAATGCGAGGAGCGCCCGGTCATCCCGAGCTCGTCGAGGGACGTGGCAATCTCGATGACGTTGAACACACGTCGTCGAACCGCCGTTGCTACGACGACGAGATTGCCACGCTACGTTCGCAATGACAAAGGTGGGTACACATGAGCGCACGCGGCCATTGCGCCATCGATAATACTGGTAGTGTCACGTCAGAATCCAAAGTCGCCGCTCCAGCGTACCAGTAGAATTCCTGGGTCATGCACTATAATTAACGTGGGTATCAGGTTTGAGGAAGCCACTACCTATGGCATCCCGATTAGTACCCGCAAACGCCACCACCTTACCCAACCCATCACTATCTTACGCATCAGTGCAAGGAGATAAACAGTCGCAATGAACACCCTCGACGCGATGGTTGAATTTGGGCACGAGCAAGTAGCGATGTACAGCGACCCGGAAACCGGATTGCGGGGAATCATCGCCATCCACGACACCACATTGGGCCCGTCTTGCGGAGGCACCCGCATGTGGCCTTACGAGAGCGAAGCGGAAGCCCTGGCCGACGCACTCCGGCTGTCGCAAGCCATGACCTACAAGTCAGCCGCGGCGGGACTCAATCTGGGCGGCGGCAAGGGCGTAATCATCGGCGATTCCCGCACCCAGAAAACCGAAGCGCTGTTGCGGTCCTGGGGTCGTTTTGTGGATACGCTGGGCGGTCGCTATCTAACCACCACCGACGTAGGAACGGTCGGGCGCGATCTCGAAACCATCCGCCAGGAAACTCAACACGTGGTTGGACTGGATGTAACGCTGGGCGGCAGCGGGGATACGTCCATAATGACCGGACTCGGCATCTACATGGGGATGAAAGCCTGCGCCTCCGAAGCTTGGGGCGCCGACTCCCTCCGCGGGCGCACCGTCGCCATGCAGGGCTTTGGCAAGGTTGCATCGCACACGGCAGAACACCTGCTGGAAGAAGACGCCAGGGTTTTCGCCGCCGACATCAGTGAGGGGGCGTTGGATAGGGCGCGCAGCATGGGCGTACAGGTCGTGGGCGTTGACGAAATACCCGGCATGGAATGCGACATTTTCGCCCCGTGCGCCCTTGGCGGCGTTATCAACCACAAGACCATCAAACAACTGCGTTGCCAAATCGTGGCGGGCGGCGCTAACAACCAGCTGGCAACCCCGGAAGACGGGGAAACCCTGCATCACCGGGGCATCATTTACGCTCCGGACTTTCTGATTAATGCCGGAGGCGTCATCAACGCCGCCGCGGAGATTGGACAGACCTACAATCCGGAACGGGCGCGCCAGCAAACGGAACGCATCTACGAGAAGATGGCCGAGGTACTGGCCACATCGCGCAAAAATGAGATGTCCACCGCCAAAGCCGCCAATATGCTCGCAGAAGCCCGGCTGGCCTCAGTACGCAAGGTGCGCGGTATCTACCGCAAGTAATCCAGGACGCGGCAGAACCAGGATCTAACGGGGGTGATGCAATAATCACCCCCGTTTATTTTCGGAAACACGCTGCCGACTTACCCTATCCGGACCCGGCGTAAACCACGGTGTCGGGTCGGTAGACGGCCCATGAGAACCACAACTGCCCGATGCGACCGGGCACCGGTTCCAGGGCTGAACCTGCCAGCGGGCCACTCACCGCCCTTCCAAACACGTTCCACTGGCTGCCGGTCTCATTATCGGTGATGCGTCCATCAGCGTCGGCGCGGAACGTCAATGGGCTGCCGTCCGGTGCACGGGGCGCGAAGATGCCGGCAGTGCCAACATCCCGTCCATCGGCTACGGAGCCGGCGTCCAGCGCAGAAGCGGTGCCCGGTTTCCAGAAGACTACTACATCGGCGTCAGCCACGGTTGCGGTTACCACCCTCTCTGCCGTCAGCGTCGTAAATGACACGGCCCAGGCCACGTCGCCCCGCTCGATGGCGACGACACGCTCAACCGCCGGCAGACGGGGGTCTGCTTCCCCGTTGAACAGGAACGGATCGTTGCCCGGGCGATCGTAACCGGCATAAGGGTTGCGCCCGTAAGCGCGTCCGGAGGCGGGACGAGACAACACTTGCCCATTGGGGAACGTGGCCTTGAAGTCGCCCCATGACACGATGGAAAGGTACAGTTGTTCCAGTCGTTGGCCCGTGAAACGGCCGATGACGCCCTCGCCGCCCACTTCCTGCCACCAGGATTCGGTCTGGCGGTCGTACATAAGCAGGTTGCTGTTGCGCAGCGCGCCGGTGGTGCCGAAATCGAGCACCTGCCCGTCTACCGTCCGCCTATACACGAAGGCGGTGTTACACAGCGGTCAAAACGTGATGACGACCGGCTCACCGCCCACGGTATCGTTCACGATCTCGTGCCAAACCATAATCTGAACCGGGTAGGCCCGCACATCGCCGCCGATGTCCACGACCTGAACGGGTTCAAGGTCGTCGAGCCACCCATCTGCATCACCTACCGACTCGAACACCGGCTGGTCGATGGCGGGGATACCATCTTTGGGTGGGCCGCCGGTCATAATTTCGTCGAAATCAATGCTCGTGCGGCTGAAATCGGTCGACCATGAACCACGCAGCAGGCGTTGATACCGCTCCCGGGCTGTTTCTGCTGCTCCTTCACTTACGCTGCGGGTGGTGCGGTTCGCCAGCGTTGGAGCAGCGGTGGCCGATTCGATAGCCGTCGAGCCAGTCGTAGCCGCGGCGTGCCTGACTTGCGTAATCTCCGGAGCAATTGCCGTACCACCGGGTGTCGACGCCGCAGTCGGGTTGGGGGCCGGCGTTGGTTCCGCCGATGGTTCGCCGCCGCAGGCAGACACCAGCAGCAGTATCAAACCCGCCATCGCCCCGGCAGCTAACCACTGTACTGAGGTTCGTCTGCACTGAATCAACAACGGCAAGAATCGTTTACGCCGCCAAACCGGCTCCGGATTGGCGGCGTAAAGTTTCAGCATCAGTTGGTCTCGGTGCCAGCAGATTTAGCGGCCCCTGAGCCTGGGGTCGAACACGTCGCGCAGAGCGTCGCCCAGCAGGTTGAAGCCCATTACCACCAGGAAGATGGCCAGGCCGGGAGCGATCGCCAACCATGGCCCGCTCTTCACGTGAGCAGCGGCGGCCTTCACCAGCATCCCGCCCCAACTCGGTTGGTCTGGCGGGGCGCCCACACCCAGAAACGCCAGGGAAGACTCAATGATGATGGCAAATCCCAGGTAGTAGGTGGCCAGCACCAAATAGGTCGCAAAGCAGTTGGGGGCGATGTGTTTGAAAATAATGCGGTAGGGCCCGGACCCAACCGCGCGCGCCGCTGTAACGTAATCCAGCTCCTTGATGGACAAGACCTGGGATCGCACTGTTCTGATTACGGGCGCAACCATCCCAATCACGATTGCGATGACCACCGTGTTCAGCGACGGCGTCACCACCGCCATGATCGCCAGCGCAATGAGCAGACCCGGCAATGACATCAACGCGTCAACGATTCGTTGGCCGATCATGTCTGGAATACCGCCGGTGTAGGTAAGCGCCACGCCGATGATAAAGCTGGCGGTAATTCCCAAGAGAACGCTGCCCAAACCCACGTATAGGGAGATTCGCGCGCCATAAATCAGGCGACTCAGCACATCGCGCCCCACGTAGTCAGCGCCAAGCTTATAGGTGGAGTTGGGCGCTTCCCAAGGCGCGGCCGGTGTCGATCTGGGATCGTAGGGCGCCAGGACCGGAGCCATCAACGCCACCACCACCAGCGCCAGCACTATGACCCCGCCAATCGCGCCCAGGGGCTTGGATCGCACGAAGCGCGTAAACCCTATCCACGCCCGCGTTCCCAACCCGGGTGCGGCGATGACATCATGGGTTATTAGTGCCGATTCAGTAGTTTGATCAATCATTACAACACCTGCCGCTTCTTACGTTCAAATCGGTCATTGCTACCGTCTATCCGTATCGAATGCGGGGGTCAAGAATGCCGTACAGCATGTCGATAATCAGGTTCAGCAGCAGTACCACTGCCGCAGTCATCAGGATCACGCCCTGGATAACCGGAAAATCGCGGTGGTTGATGGCGTCGATCAGGAACTTGCCCACACCAGGCACCACGAATATCTGCTCCACGATGATTACTCCGCCCAGCAACCGCCCAAACTGGTAACCGGAAACGGTGATCACCGGCAGCAAAGCATTTTTCAGCGCGTGTCGGCCCACTACCACCCACTCGCGCAGTCCCTTGGAGCGAGCGGTGCGCATATAGTCTTCCCGCATGACTTCCAGCATCGCCGAACGCGTTACCCGCGCCGTGAATGCCATGTCGTGGAATCCGACCACCGCCGCCGGCAGCAGCATTAACTGCAAGTTTTGCCAGGGGTCATCCCACAGGTGGGCGTATTCTAACGGAGGCAGCCAGCCCGTCCCGTAGGCCAAGCCATAAATCACCAGCACGCCAATCCAGAAGGTCGGCATCGCGATGCCGAGCAATGCAATCACTCGGCTGGCGTAATCCACGCCAGTGTCCTGCTTCATCGCCGATAAGATTCCTAACGGAACGGCGGCTACGAACGCCATCCCGATAGCAAGCACAGCCAGTTCGAAAGTCCTGGCGAAGCGTTCGACCAACTCCAAACCAAAAGGTTCACTGTAGTAGAGGGATTCGCCCAGATCGCCGCGCACCACGCCCCACAACCAGTCAGCGTATTGCACGTAGATGGGCCGATCCAGCCCCAGGTCCTTCCGCAGGCGCTCGAAATCATCGTTAGTAACGCGCCCACCGGCATCTTCACCCGTGAGCAAGTAAACCGCCGCATCCCCCGGAACGATTGAGAACAGGGCAAAAACCAGAATGGTCGCCAGCAGCATAGTGGGGATGAAGAGGAGGATCCTTCGCATTAGGTATTGTGACATTCCTCAACTCCTGCCGGGCGGGGCGTCAACTTGTTAACCGGTTATTTTACACAATGGCCGGGGCCCAAACGAAACCCTGCTACCGGCCTCTTGATAATCGTCATTGCGAGCGTAGCGTGGCAATCTCGTTACAATGCACATATTGGCCCCGAGGGCTGTATTACGCCGACGAGATTGCCACGTCGCTACGCCCCTCGGTATGTCGATGAAGCCGCCTGTTTAGGGCACATAGCCTTTTACGGTAACTCGACAGGTCGGTGGTATGCGATGGGTTCCCGGTCCGGTCGAACAGAATTTGGTCCCACTTAGAATCCCTGCACAAGCCACGTGGCCGGGTAGTGGAAGTTACGGATGCGGTAGTCGAAGGCGCCGCCACTGGAATACCAGAAGTAAGGAAGCCAATGGCTCTCGCCCCGGTGCAGGATGTCAGCCAATTCTTGAAGGTGCCCCTGCCGCACCGCCGGGTCTACGGCCTGGTTCTTGCTGTTCTGGCAACACGTTAAGCTCATATCCACTCGTATCATTCTGCCAGTGTTTTGTTGCCAGCAGCACGTTCGCAGTAAAACTGGTTCAGAATATCGCCGGGGTCTCGCAGGATTATGCCGGTGCCCACCGCGTCGAAGTTGGCTACGCCGTCACGCATTCCCACGTACATAGTAGCCAGGTCATGGGGTTGTATGATGATGTCGATGTTCAGGTCTTCGCGCATTTGGGGCGCAGCGACTTCGGCACTGGACAGCGACGGGTTGGTGCTCACAACATTGAGCGTAACCTCGAACCCGTCGGGATAGCCAGCCTCAGCGAGCAACTGACGGGCTTCGGCCAAGGCAGCTTCGCGGTCGCCATAAGCCGGGTTGTTGACCTTCAAATCCTCCATGTCTTCTACCACGCTGGGCGCAAAGAACGTGCCGGGCTTGCCAAAACCGAGGATGGCTTTCGCGACACCCAGTTCGCGGTCAAGTCCCAGATAGAAAGCCCGGCGCACCCGAGGGTCGTCAAAGGGCGGCTTGTCGTGGTTGAAGAAGAAAGCCTGGATACCGGACGCTTCCAGAATGACGGCGCGTACCCGACCGTCGGTATCCTCTTCCAGGCGGGCCATATCTTCGGGACGGTTGCCGCCCGTAACGGGCTGGTAAGACCAAAGACCTGTCCTGCCTGCAACGCCGCTATGCGGCGGGCGTTATCACGAATCAGGAATATCCGCAGGGCGCAAAGAAGGGACCGAACCTGGCTTGAATCGTTGGGGTTGCGTCAAAGGCATGCCCGTGTCCTTCTCCCACTCCCACGACACATCCACTGGCCTGACCATGAGCCCCTCGGGTTGTCCGGCTTCAATCGCTGCTAGGGCGGCCTCCTGACCAATACCCTTATTGGCCTGCTCCTGGGTCAGGTTCTCGGCAACATGTTTGGGGTACACCTTCATGTAGTCCGACGCCAGGTTGGGTATGAAGCCGGCGGCGGGGAAGCGCAGCGGCACCTTGGCCGTATGGTCGTCGATGGCCTCGGAAGCGCCATGCACCACGAAATTGTTGAGGAAGCCGGTGCGGGCCCGCAGCACGCCTTCTTCCACTTGTCCTAATGTGATGCGATTCAGAGAGAACACTACGTCTTCCGCTGTGACCGGGTGGCCGTCGGTGAACGTTGCGTCGGGGTTCAAGTGGAAAATGTACCCGAACTCGTCGCCGTCCTCGTAGATTCCCAGCTAACGGCCAAGTCGCCGATAATCTCGCTGGGGTTCACCGGGTTGTATTCCAGAATCTGGTTGAAACGGACGCCCGAAGGGATGAGCACGCTGTTCAGGGAACCGCCGTAGTGCACGTCCCGGAACCCGGGGTTATGAGTAGCCACCAGCGGGAAGTCACCCTGATAGTGTTTGCTCTCGCCTTCCTGCCACCAGTCGGGCCTTTGGTCAAGGGCCATGGCGGTGGGCACCGGAACCGGAGTAGCGGTAGCGTCCAGCCGGGCTGTGGGCGTCGGCTCCTGGACGCCGGCAAAGGGGTCCAGGGTAGGGGTAACCTGGGCTGCCGGCGCGCTGGCATCGGCGGTTTCTTCGCTGGTGGTAGTCGCGCCACCGCAGGCTACTATCGCGGCCATCAATGTCAGCGCGCCCAGCGCCCAGCAAGTTCGCGGATGCCACAAAAGTCGCAAGTCCATGGAATGAGTCCTCCTCGATTATCGCTAGTCAAGCTACTCCGGCGTACGCCGGATGGCGAATTCCAACGTCCTCAGATGCTACTTGGTGGGGGTTCGGATTGTCAAATACTGTTCGATGATGGTAACTGTTCACGTTTGAGGGGACGGAAACGGTTTGCAGTGGAAATACCGTGCTCGGTTGCCCCTCCACAATAGGCGGAATAGTCGGCAGATCCCCGCAAGTCTGAACAGTTACCGATGATGCTACGCTGGGCAGGTTGTTATTGTAGCGGATATAAAGAGCAGGGGCGCTTCCATAATAAAGAAGGTGCGACGCACGCGTAGCCCCTACGTGTGTCGGAGAACGTGCCTTGCTATGATTCCGTAGGTTACGGCACATAGCCTACTCCGTCGGGAATTTCACGATCCGGGTCAAACCACTGATGATCCCACTTCTTGATGAGCTGCACCGTGGGTGGATAGTAGAAGTTCCGGATCCGATAGTCATAGGCCCCGGCGGTGGAATACCAGAAATAGGGTACCCAGTGGCTTTCTCCTCGGTGCAAAATGTCAGCCATTTCTTCCAGGTTGCCCTGACGCGCCGCCGGATCTATGGCCTCGTTCTGCAAGGCGATTAGCTCGTCCACCCGGTCGTTCTGCCAGTTGTGAGGGTTACGCAACACATCCTGCAAATAGAACTGGTTGATGATGTCGCCAGGGTCGCGCAAGATGATGCCCGTACCTACCGAACTCATGTAGCTACACCGTCGCGCATTCCGACGTACATGGTAGCCAGATCTGTTGGTTGAATATTGATGTCGATATTCAGGTCATTCCTCATCTGCGGCGCCGTTACTTCCGCACCGGGTAATGCGGGCGCAGTATTGACCACGTTGAGCGTAATATCGAATCCGTCGGGGTAGCCAGCGGCGGCTAATAATTCACGGGCTTCCGCCAGCGCTGCGGAGCGGTCGGTGGCGAACGCCGCATCGATGGCACGCGTTTCTTCCAGGTCCTCAACAATGCCAGGCGAAAAGAAAGTGCCAGGCAACCCGAATCCCTGCACCGCCTGACTTACTCCCAGATCCCGGTCAAGCCCTAGGTAAAACGCCCGCCGGACCCGGGGGTCATCGAAAGGCGCTTTAGTAGTGTTAAGGAAATAAGATTGAACGGCAGAGCCTACCAGTACCAATGCCCGCACGCGACCGTCCGTATCCTGTTCCAGACGCGCCGCATTTTCTGGGGTATGAGTGGTAACCGACTGATAGGTTCCGTAAACCTGCCCGGTTTGCAGAGCCGACAGATTACGTGCCACATCCACTATCAGGTATATTTTCAATCCCTCAAAGAATGGCCGGCCGGTTTTGAAATAGTTGGGGTTGCGATCAAAGGAATAGCCCGTGTCCTTCTCCCACTCCCGCAACATCCACGGGCCTGACCCAATGAGTCCCTCGGGTTGTCCGGCTTCGATCGCCGCCATGGCGGCCTCCTGACCAATACCCTTGTTGGCCTGATCCTGGGTCAGGTTCTCGGCAACATGTTTTGGGTAAATCTTCATGTAGTCCGACGCCAGATTGGGCAGAAAACTCGCCGCCGGATAGCGCAACGGCACTTTCACCGTGTAATCGTCCACAGCCTCAAATGTGTTGTATACTAGGAAGTTATTTAACATGCCGGTGCGGGCCCGCAGCACGCCTTCTTCCAATTGTCCTAATGTGATGCGATTCAGCGAGAACACTACGTCTTCCGCAGTTAACGGATGCCCGTCGGTGAACGTAACGTTCGGGTTCAGGTGGAAGATGTAACCGAATTCCTCCCCGTCCTGATAAGACTCCCAATTCAGTGCCACGTCGCCAATGATTTCGCTCGGACTTACCGGATTGTATTCGAGAAGTTGATTAAAGCGAGGCCCGGACGGTATCAGGACGGTGTTCATTGAACCGCCGTAGTGTACATCCCAAAAACCGGGGTTGTATTGGGCAACCAGCGGAAAATCACCTCGGTAGAGCTTACTTTCACCCTCCATCCACCAGTCGGGACGCTCATCAACCATCATGACCGTAGGAACCGGAACTGCCGTAGGAGTAGCATCCAACGGCGCCGTGGGCGTCGGTTCGTCCGCCGCAGCTAATCGGTCGAGGGTTGGCGTCGGAGCTGACGCAGCCGTAGTACCTGCGTCTTGTTCCGGGCTGGCTGTCCCGCCTCAAGCCACTACCGCCACCAGGCCGGTCACCACTGCCAGCGTGAGCAAGACTCTCGGATGCCACATTCGTCGCCACGTCATCACGATAACCCCCTGCATCGTCTTGGCGTCGGCGACACACGTCTCAATCAATACCTCAGCATCACCGGCTTGCTGATTTCATTTATTGCATTATAACCTGCTTACGAAAATCGATGTCAAATACGATATCTAGAATACATTAGGCCTTACATAATCGAATTGAAATACGGTTTCATCCCTTACTTCGCCGCACTTGCGACACTAACCAGCGTTCCGCCAGCTTCGGAGGTTGCCACCAGCAACCGGTCGCCGGCTATGATCGGCGAGGCGGTTACCAGACCCTCCATCGACGCCGACCATGCCCGGGATCCGTCTGCTACCAACAGACCCACCACCTCACCGGATTCCAGGGCAATGAGGGCCACCTCGCCGGCAATGGTAGGGGCCACGTTGATATCGTCAGCAAGGTCAGTTTCCCAAAGTATCCTTCCAGCGCCGATATCCAATGCGGTAACGATCCCGGTGGTATCGGCAATCACCGCCGTTTCTCCGGCCAGCGTCGGCGAATATGGCTGCTCGCCGGCAGTTCGAACCGCCCAGACGGAGCCTTGCTGGATGGGCCCCAGGTTGGTGAACCCCCAAACCCACACCACGGTACGCACATAGAGCCATTGCCGCTCCAGTGGATAACGGTGGCCCTGGTAATCGATGCCCCAAACACGCCCACCGTTGGTGCTCACGTGCAAAAGACGGTCGGTCACTATCGGAGCGCCGCGCACCCACCGGCCCTGGCCGGCGTCGAATATCATCCGACGTTGGCCGTCGCCTCATCTATGATGTGAATTACGGCGTCGTTGGAAGTGGCAATTACCTTGTCGTCAATTATGGCCGGCGGAGCGATTAGCCAATCACTCAAGTGGTAATCCCACAAATCCGCGCCCGTGGCAGCGTCCAGAGCCAACAGGCGATTCTGGTCTGTTTCGGCAACAAACAACCTGCCGTCGGCGACGGTGGGCGAGGGCAGGGACGCCACCTGCAACCGACGCGACCAAACCAAATCGCCGGTGTCGGCGTTGAGCGCGGATACAACACCGGGGCGGAACACCACAAAGACCAGATCATCGACGACCGCCGGCGTTACCGTAGCAGTCAGACCGGATTCGTACTGCCACACCACCTCTCCGCTGCTCTCGTCCAGGGCGGTAACGGTTCCATCCTCAGCCGTAACGTACACCCGGCCGCCGACCACCGCCGGAGCCGCCACGATGGGGGCACCGGCGACGTGACGCCACGCCACGTCGGTAACCCCCTCCGCGGATACGTCCAGATCACCGACGCTGGCCGCGGTGTTGGTGATGCCTCCCCGTGCCTGAGGCCAGTCACCTGGCACTGGCGCTACCGAAGTGTCTCCGATGTTTGTCGTCGGCAATGGAGGGTCGGGCGGCAATCCCGTGTACCCCCAGAGCACCCACACCAGCAACATTAGCAGTGGTACGACCACGATGGCAATGCGGGTGATACGGTTGCGCAGGAAATCCAGACGGATGCGACGCGACCGGCGGCGGGCCTCCTCTTCGACAACCGTTTCCATGCCGGAGTAGGCGCCGCACTGGCTACACCGCAGTCCGGAACCTTCTGGATTCAGGTTGCCGCAGAACCGGCAGTAAAGGACAGTATTAAGCTCGTTTTCCAATGCGTTTGGTTCTGGCTAGAACGCCGGCCGTTGCAGTACGGCTGGGTCAATCCGTCGACGCACCAGCTGACCGTCGTTGGGATCACCCAGTAGCTGACCGTTATCAACCATGACCTTGCCCTCGCAGGATGACAGTAGTCGGCCAGCCGCTAACCTCCCAGCCTTCCCAGGGACTGTAATCGCGCAAGTGCAGATCATCCATGGTGAGCCGCTTCCTGAACGACGGGTCTATGATGGCAAAGTCAGCATCGCTGCCCGGCGCAATCACGCCCTTACGGGGGTACATCCCCAGCAGGCGCGCCGCGTTCGTAGAGGTGATGTTGGCGTACTGGGTAAGCGGCATACCACGCTTCACCACCGCCTCGCTGTAGTTGACTCCCATCCGGATTTCGATGCCGATGTTGCCTCCCCGCATATCCTGTACATTGCGTCCGGCGGTTTTATCAACATAGGTGGTGAAGCTGCTATCCGTTGCGGTAAATGTGAGGTTGTTGCCCAGCAGGCCGGACCACAGGTCGTGCCCATCTTCCGGGTATTTCAGGGACGGGTAGGTGTGGTATTTCATGCCGTCGGGTTCCCGGTACTGCCAGCAGTTGAAGGATAGGGCCAGGGTCAACACCTCGCCATACACCGGCAAACCCCGACTACGCGCAGCGGCCACCGCGTTTACCCCGTCGTTGCCTGTTACATGAACGAAGTACATACCAGCGCCGTTCTGTTCGGCGATTCGAATAACATCGCGGAATGCCAGATCCTCCACCTCTTTGGAGTGGATCAAGTGCGCGTTGTACCAGTCCCAGTTGTCCCGCTGACGAGCCATCAAGTAGTTGTACATCACCAATTCGTCGTCTTCGGCGTGCACCGCCAGAACTCCGTCGTTTCGCGCCAGCTGCGCCGTGAGGTCGGCGAGACGGCCGTTATCAATTCGACCAATGGGAGTCAGCGTCAACGGCGGGTCCGACGGCGGCCTGATGTTGGTGGTAAAAATCTTGACGCTGGGAAAATCATTCGCAATCAGCTCACCGACGCGGGCGATGCTGTCGGCGGAGTTTCGGCTGGAATAGATGATGTGGGCCGAGTAGTCGGCGTAAGTATTCCCATTCCATACCGACAGGAAATCGTGGACACCGCCCACCAGCTCACCCTCTGGCGCCGGCGCGAAGTCCACCACCGTGGTGGTGCCGCCCCAAATCGCCCCCAGCGAGTGCTCCAGCGGGCCGGCGTTGGGGACGCCGGCAACCAGCTCATGGGCCCCGGGCCGCACGTTGGCCGCCGCATGGGCGTGGGGTTCAATCCCACCGGGCGTAACGATTCGTCCGGATGCGTCCAGCGTTTGCGTCGCATCGTCGGTCAACGTGCCGGGCGCCGCTATCGCCGCGATGCGCCCATCCTGCACGCCAATGTCCAGCACCGCAGCTTCGCTGGGCGTCACCACCGTTCCGCCGGTAATCAACAAGTCAAACATGATCCATCTCCCTGAACGATGTGCAACGGCGATACTCAATCTTTTCGCGGGTCAGCAGAAATTTGGCAACTTATCGGGCATTTCGCGGGTTAGCGGGATTCGCGCCGATTTTAACCAGATGCTAACCATTGTGGGTCAAATCACTATTGCCCAGACTTGATCCATTCCGCCACCCGTTCGCTGATCATGATTGTGGTGGCGTTGGTGTTGGCTCGGATTACGTCGGGCATCACGGACGCATCAGCAACGCGCAGACCCTCGATGCCGTGCACCTGACCGTGCTGCGACACCACCGCCAGCGGATCACTGGCCGGCCCCATTTTGCAGGTTCCGGCGATGTGATGCTGTGTGTAGGCGTTACGCAGAATCCAGTTGTCCAGTGCGTCATCGTCAACCAGGTCGGCGTCCACCGGATTGAGCCTCTCCACGATGAAATCCCCGAACGGCGCGCGCTCGGCGATTTCCAACGCCTTCCGCACGGCCACCCTCATACGTTGCCGGTCGTAAGAGTCGCTGAATAGCTGGTAATCCAGATCGGGCTGCACCAGTGGGTCCGTTGACTGCAACTTGATCCGGCCTGCTGAAACCGCGTTTTGTAGTCCCACACTGAGGCCGAAATGGAAACCCTCGCCGTCGTAGCTGATGCTGGCGGGGCGGTGCTCGCTGGTCATCAGCGTGGGGGTTATCTGGAAATCGGCCTTGGTGGGCGAGTCGGCGGCGCTCCACCGCAAACCCACCTGTATTTGGGGAGCGAACGTGTCCGGTTCCTCGCCTTCGCCACGAAACAGGATGTATGCCGCCGGATGGTCGCGGAAGTTCTGCCCAACGCGGGCAGCTCGTGATTGACCGGCAAACCCATCTCCTTGAGGTGGTCGGCGGGGCCGATGCCGGACAGCAGCAGTATCTGGGCGGAGCCGATTGTGCCGCTGCACAGCACGATTTCCTCGCCCTCGACGGTGAAGATTTCGCCGCCGCTTTCCACCTCCACACCTACCGCTTTGTTGCCGTCCAACACTACGCGCCGGGCGTGGATGTTGCCGCGCACCGTGAGGTTCAGGCGGTGGCGGGCCGTGCTCAAAAAGGTGAGCGAAGTGCTCATCCGCACGCCGTCGATGTTGTTCATCGGTCGCGGTGAGATGGCGGTATAGCAGTCGGGGGCGTTCTGGTCGGGATGCTCCGGGATGCCCAGGGCTACGCAGGCGTCGTAGAACGCGGTGTTGAAGGGAAGCCAATCGGCCCGGCGGGGTCGGCGCACCGGCAAAGGGCCTTCGGAACCGTGGAAGTCATCGCCGCCGTAGTCGCGGTCGTTTTCCAGCTTGCGGAAAAACGGCAGGCAGTCGGTGAATTTCCACTCATCGTTGCCCCATTCTGCCCAAAGGTCATAGTCCTCGGGGATTCCCCGGAACACCACCTGGCCATTGATCGACGACGACCCGCCCATCGCCTTGCCGCGGGGGATGATCATCGGCTCATCCTGCGACGGATTCGCCCGACCGCGCAAATCCCAGCTGTGCGGCCCATAGGCCGACAGCCAGGTATTGTTGCCCTGCTTCAAGTCCTGGGGCAGATGCTCAAAGTCCGGATAATCGGGGCCCGCTTCCAGCAAAATCACCGATTTATCGGTCATTTCGGAAAGTCTGGTTGCCATTACGCAGCCGGCCGAGCCGCCACCAACTACTACGTAGTCGTACTTCATTTCGGCATTTTCTCCTTACACGACCCCGAAACCTGACCCTGAAGTATGGCCCAGGGACTTTTTGCATGGTTGTACGTTTTGTATTGTTGTGCCCCAACCCGCCGGTTGGACTGGGAGAATTTCTAATCCCACTCCCCGGCCAGCCGTTCGGCCACCATGATTACAGTGGCGTGGGTGTTGGCCCGTGGCACCTGCGGCAAGATGCTGGCGTCAGCAACCCACAGCCCCTCGACGCCTCGCACCTGCAGGCGCTGGTTCACCACCGCCGCCGGGTCGCTGTCGGGCCCCATCTTGCAGGTGCCCGACATATGCCGAGCTGAACCGATGGTGCGTTTCAGCCAATCGTCCAGCAAATCGTCGTCGGCCAGCTCCGGTTCGGTGGGGGAGACCCACTGGTCCAGCACGTCCCCGTAAGCCGGGTAATCCACCAGCTGCCGACACAACCGCACCGCCTCGCGCAGCCGCTCCCGATCCCAGGCGTTTTCCATGTAATGGTAGTTGAACCGGGGCTGCTGCAACGGGTCAGCCGATTGCAACTCCACTTCGCCACTACCTGCCGGCAATTCGAGCGCGCAGGACAGCCTGATACCACGATCCGGAAGAACATCTCCCGACAACGGCGAGAAGATGGAGTTGGTCATTATCATTACGTCGTTGGGCGTGTTCGAACCGGTGGCGGTGTAACGCAGGGCGATTCGCGCGCCCTGAGCGTCGGGCGACAGCGCACGCCATCGCGGGCGCGCAGGCCGACGCTGGCAATGGGGTGATTCCACAGGTTTTGGCCCACCGCCGGCTGGTCGACGAGAACATCAATACCGTACCGGTGCAACGACTCGGCCGGCCCAATCCCAGATAGCATCAGCAGGTGTGGGGATTTGATGCCGCCCGAGCTGAGCACGACGCGGTCGGCATCGATGTTGAACACCTGCCCACCACTTTCGGCTTCCACCCCGCAGGCACGTTGACCGTCAAACCGGATGCGCCGCACCACGACGCCCCCGCGCACCGTGAGGTTCAAGCGATGTCGACCAGGACTCAGATGGGTCAGGGCGGTGGACATCCGCACACCACCCGGATTGTTCATCGGAATGGGGCCGACGCCGCCCGGCTCCGGGCCGTTCAGGGTCCGGCATCGGATATCCAGGCACGGCCGCGGACCACGATTCGTATATACTAGCCCGCGTGGAATCGGCGGCCAGGTTTCGTTGTGCCGACGCACCGCTGGGACTGGGCCATCGGTGCCATGAAAGTCGTCATGAATATCCCCATCGGTTTCCATCTTGCGAAAGTAGGGAAGCACGTCGGTATACGTCCAGCGGTCATTGCCCCAAGACGCCCACATCGCGAAATCTCCGGCAAACCCCGCAACAGCACCTGCCCATTGATCGAGCTACCACCACCGATTACTTTGCCCTGGGCAACGTGAATCTCGCCCTGTTCAGCGGTTATGGTCCCGGTCAGCGACCAGTTATGCGGCCCGTCCTGCCGTTCGGCATCGCGGGTATGCCCGTAGCGCAGTTCGTCGGGGAGCAATGCCGGATCCGGACGTAGTCGGGGCCAGCCTCCAGCAGCAACACGGATCGGGATGGGTCTTCAGAGAGTCGGGATGCTACCACACAACCGGCCGCGCCGCCGCCAACCACAATCACGTCGTAACGCATATCAATACACCGTATCCAGATAAATCAACTGGGATGAGACAAAGGCGGCATGGAACACTGGCGTTCCATCCGTCGGGAATCCGGGCGATTTTATCACAACGGCCTGCCAGGTCAGCCCCACTGTTCCCCTCACGGCGCACCCAATTTGTCATTGCGAGGAGCGCCCGTTCATCCCGAGCTCGTCGAGGACGTGGCAATCTCGTATTCGTAGCAACAGCGGTTCGCCGACGTGTGTTTAACCTCATCGAGATTGCCACGCTACGCTCGCAATGACAAAGTGGGCACGCGTGAGCATTGTTCCCCGGTTCGCAGGTTTGGGACGGCACCCGAACCGCATGATTCCGCTATGGTTCGCCTACCACCTTGCGGGCCCGCTGGAAAACCGCATCCAGCATATCCAGCGTTAGCCGGCCAGTTTGAGTGTTTTGCTGGCTGGGGTGGTAGCAGGAGATGAGCAGCGGGCCGCCGTCCGGCAACTGCGATTCAACAGCATGGCCGAAGGGCGGTTTTCGCTGGGGCGCCACCCGGCCGGAGTCGGCGTAAGACGCCCGCAGGAACGCATCAAATCGCGATGCGCCCCAACGCAACCACCACCCGTAGGTCGGCCAGCAGTTCGATTTCGCGCGCGATATATGGCCGGCAGGTTGCCAACTCAACGGTGGTGGGTTTGTTGGCGGGTGGAGCGCAGCGGGCCGCGCCGTGAATCAAGAAGGCGCCTCCACGACGCAGCCGTCGCCCTGACACGAACGCGGCTCCGGCTGGCTGGCGACCGACAACGGCCCGGATCAGCGCGCAAACAGCCAGTCGCCGCTGCGGTCGCCGGTGAACATCCGGCCGGTGCGATTGCCACCGTGGGCCGCCGGAGCCAGACCAACCACCAACAAACGGGCCTGTGGGTCGCCAAACGCGGCCAGCGGAGCGCCCCAATAGGGTTCGTCGCGATACATACGCCGTTTGACACGGGCCACTTCTTCCCGCCAGTCAACCAGCCGAGGGCAGGCCCGGCAAACCACCACCTGCTCCCTGTAAGGCGTCAACGCTGGTGGCGTTGGCTGCTATCGAATGAGTATCCACTGGTTTAGTGCTGATGGTCGTGGTCGCCGCCGTCAGTCGGGGCGCCCCAGCCACCGCCGCCGGGCGTGCGGATGCTGAGGATGTCGCCGGCATCCACGTCGAGAGTCTCCTTACCGGCCAGTCTGACTTCCTCGTAGCCGCCCTTCAGCAGCACGTTTTCGCCGCGCTCGCCGTGGTGTCCGCCGTGATAGCCGGGCGGGGAGAACCGGCGGCGCTCCGACAGCACCGTAACGCGGGCCGGACTGAGGAACTCTACATCGCGCACCAGACCATCACCACCCCGATGCAATCCGTCGCCGCCGGAGCCGCGCCGCAGAGCGTAACGACGCAAACGCAGCGGGAAGGCAAACTCCAGCGCTTCCACCGGAGTGTTCATGGTGTTGGTCATGTGGGTATGGATGCCGGAGATACCGTCCTTGTCAGGACGTGCGCCCATGCCGCCGCCGATGGTCTCGTAGTACACATAGGGCCTGTCCCGGGAGATGTCGTGGCCGCCGATAATCATGTTGTTCATGGTGCCCTGCGACGAGGCCGGTATGCGGTCGGGCAGGGCCTGGCTCATCGCGGACAACAGCACGTCGGTAATGCGTTGCGACGTTTCCACGTTGCCGCCGGCGACACCCCGCTGTGGCAGTGGGTCAACGAGGCTGCCACTGGGTGTGATTATGTCAACCGGACGCAAACAGCCCTGGTTCGCCGGCGCTTCGTTGCCGACCACGCATCTCACCACATACAGGCTGGCCGACACCGTAACGGCTCGCGGCGCGTTGATGCAACCGGGCCTTTGCGCAGCCGTGCCGGTGAAATCTATGGCCATCCGGTCGCCGGCCACCGTAACCGTCACGTGAATCATCACCGGCTCTTCACTCTGGCCGTCGTCATCCATGTAGTCGGTAACTTCGTACACGCCGTCGGGAATCTGGGTGATGGCCCGCCGGGTCAAACGCTCCGAATAGTCCAGCAGCGCGTCCATGTGCTCGTGGGTATCGGCTAGGCCGTAGCGTTGGGCAATCTCGGTCAGGCGTTTGTCGCCAACGCGGATGGACGCAATCTGCGCCGCCAGGTCTCCCCGGCGGTCATCGGGCGTGCGGGAGTTGCGGCAGATCAGGGACACTACTTCCTGATTGATGCGACCCCCACGGGACAACTTCAGCGGTGGGATAATCAGCCCTTCCTGGTAGAGTTCGGTGGACAGCGGCATTGAGCCCGGCGCCATCCCGCCCACATCGGAATGATGGCCGCGGTTGCTGACGTATCCGATCAACTCTCGGGCGCCGTCAATCTCCACGTAGGCCGGAGCCACCAGGGTAATGTCGGGCAGATGTGAACCGCCCATGTAGGGGTCGTTGAGAATGACGATGTCGCCGGCGCGCAATCCCTGCGGGAATGTTTGCAACGCCGCCTGCACCGATGCCGGCATGGCCCCCAGATGCACCGGCTGGTGCGCCGCCTGCGCCACCATCTCCGCCGCCGGGTTGAACAGCGCGCAAGAGAAATCCTGCCGTTCTTTCATGTTGGTGGAGTAGCTGGTGCGTTGCAACGCCACTCCCATCTCCTCGGACACTGAGATGAACATGTTCTTGAAGACTTCGAGACTGATTGCGTCGACTGGCATGGCGGATGGCTCCCCAGGAATCAATTCCACCGTAGTATAACCGGCATCCCGTCCACACGTTCGGCGAAACTGTCGTGCGATTCCGGCCGTGCACGGACGCCCCGGCTTGCCGTTCGCATACTTGCCGTTCGTATAGAGTAAACCAGTGAGTCGGCGTATCATATTGCGCGAGACTTGACGGTGAGTGAGCATTGACCGGAAATCCGGCGCCAACACTTTGCGGCTAGTCTCCAACGACCACACCAGGAGGACTACCAATGGCAGAATACATCCCGTCGCCCACCGATTGGGTGCGCGAACAGGTGGAACAATACGAGGGCAGCGGGGGCACCGAGGCGACACAGTTGCGGGACACCGGTTTTCCGGTAATTATCGTTACCAACCAGGGCAACAAGACGGGCGCCATCCGCAAGACGCCGCTGATGCGTGTGAAGGATGGCAACAATTTCGTACTGGTAGGTTCCAGGGGCGGAGCGCCGAAGAACCCGGTGTGGGTCTATAACCTGCGGAACGACGCCAACGTGGAAATCCGGGACGAAACCGAGGTTTTCACGATGCGGGTTCGGGAGGTTGCTGACCCACAGGAACGAGCGCGGGTTTGGGATCTGGCGGTGGCAGCATTCCCAAACTACCAGGAATACCAGGAACGAACTTCACGCACTATCCCGGTGTTTATCGCCGAGCCGGTTTGAATAACCATACGCGTACCATCCTAACGCGGCGCGTACCATCGACCCTAACGCGGCGCGTACCATCCTAATGCGGCGGGTACGGTCGACTCGGCCTGACCGGGTTGCTCCGCCGGCACGGTCCGCCAAGGGGGCGTGGCTGGATTCGCGGGCTACGCCCGATTAGTGGGATGGTTCGCCATCGCCACGCCGTCGCTCCGCACGCTGGCACGGTTAGTCGGCACTACAGCGCGGCCAGCAAATCCACCGCGCCCGTCGGTGAAACCAGCTGGTAGAATTCCGTGCCCATCAACATATTCACCACATCCTCGGGCAGCTGCGAGAATGGCCCTGAGTCGTGCAGCTGGGTGCGGTGGCAGGCCAGTGAATCCAGCTTGACTTTTACCCACGGCATCACGTCAACGGTGGTGGTAACGTCGTCGTCGGGCGTGCCCAGCTCGTCGATGGCTTCGGCGGCAAACGGCGGTGTTATGTCGCGGTCGGCCATCTCCTGCCACCAGCGCCGGAAAACGTCGCGGGGAAAACAGACGTAGTACAGCAACGGCGTAGCGCCGTCGGGGTCGGAAACGCGCGCAACCGCAGCAGTGGCGTGCGCAGACATGGTTTTGTGGTCGGGGTGCCCATAGCCGCCGGTTGGGTCATGAGTCAACACAACGTGGGGATTGGTTTCCCGAAGGATGCTGTCCAGTGTCCCCAGCACACTGGCGGTGTCTGAGTTGCAATAAGCCCGCGGGTGCTGGTTGTCGTCGGTGCCGTCCATACCGCTGTCGCGGTAGTCCAGGAAACGCACGTCGGCGATGCCGGTGATATCCATGGCATTCCGCAGTTCCTGCTTACGCACCTGCCACAAATTTTCGGGGTGGCCAGCGCCGGATCGCTGATTTCACCGACATCGCCGTTGGTGGCGCAAACCAGCGTGATGCGGGCGCCGCCGGCAGCCAGCTTCGCCAGCAGACCTCCGGACGCAAACCCCTCGTCGTCCGGGTGCGCAAAGCACGCCAGGACGGACAGGCGGGAAATATCGGGCGCGGCAGGTGTGCTCATAAAGTATCCAGCCTAATGCGGTTCGGCAGTTTCCAGCAGCAGATTTCCGAAAGCATCCACGTACCCTTGCCAACCCGGTGGGACGACGATCGTCGTGTCCAGTTGCAGCAACAGCGCGGGGCCTGCGATCTGGTTTCCGGTTTCGAGACCGCCACGGTCGTACAGCGTGGTAACCATCGGACCGTCGGCGAATACCACCTCAGTCGCGCCAATAGCGGCGTGGGCCGCGTCGGCGCCGGCAAACGGAGACGGTTCCAGCTGCGGTTTATCCACCGGCAGCTCCAGTTTCAGCCGCAGGTTAACTACCTCAATCGGCAACGCACGGTCGGCGTAGCCAAACCGTTGCAGGTGGGCGGCGTAGAACTCACGGGAGATACTTCGGCGCAGGTCGCCGCGACCGGACAACGAGGGGCAATCCACCGTTAACTCAAACGACTGCCCGACGTAACGCACGTCGATGAAGCGCCGGGCGGTCATCGAATCAACCGGCAGGGCTTCGTCCATCAGTTCAGCCCGGGCCTGTTGTTCCATACCGTGGAATTCTTCCTCAAGCCGGATTTTATCCAGGTCGCCGCCGCGTAGCATCACGGTTCGGGAATAATCCTTGACCACATCGGCGATGGCGACTCCGAGGGCAGACAGTATGCCCGGGTGCGAGGGAACCAACACGCGCGGGATGCCCAGCTCACCGGCCAGCTCGCAGGCGTGCATCGGGCCGGCGCCTCCGAAGGGCACCAGGGTAAACTCTCGCGGATCATAGCCGCGCTCCAGCGAGATCGAACGGATGGCCCGTTCCATGTTGGAATTGACGACGCGTATGATTCCCAGGGCGGCATCGGTAACCGATGCGCCTATGCCAGCGGCAACGTCAATCATCAGCGCTTCCGCCCGTTCCCGGTCCAGCGTCATGCGGCCACCCAGGAAACCATCGGCGCGGAGCCGTCCCAGCGTGAGGTTGGCGTCGGTAACGGTAATCCGGTCTCCCCGCCCGTAGCAGGCTGGTCCCGGCTCAGCGCCGGCCGATTGCGGCCCAACCACCAGGGCGCCGCCGGAATCCACCCGCGCGATCGAACCCCCACCGGCCCCCACGGTATGAATTTCGATCATTGGCACGCTGACCGGATAGCCGCCCAACGTAGCCGAGGTGGTTTCTTTGATGCGTCCGGGGCACAGCGACACATCGGTTGAAGTGCCGCCCATATCGAGGGTAATTATGTCGGGGTAACCGGCCTGCATGCCGGTGTAAAAGGCCCCCACTACGCCGCCGGCCGGGCCGCTCAAAATAGTGCGGACCGGCTGGTCGGCGGCCAGACTGGCCGTAATGCTGCCCCCCGAAGATTGCATGATGCGCAGGCCGCGCCCCAGCGCTCGTTCCAGTTGGGACAAATACCTGGCCATTACGGGGCCCACGTATGAATTGACTACCACCGTGCTCGTGCGTTCGTACTCCCGAAATTCAGGCAGTATCTTCGAGGAGATTGAGATGAATGGTTGTCCCGGGAGCTCCGCCAGCCGGTTGGCCAATGCTTCTTCATGCACGGGGTTCAGGAAGGAAAACAGGAACGAAACCGCGACGCCGTCCAACTTGGGCCCGCTCCAGCAGGGTCAGCAATGCCTGCACCGATTCCGGTGTCAGGTCTTCCAGGATGGCGCCGGTATAGTCGATGCGCTCTGGCAGTCCGAAACGCAACTCCCAGGGAGCCAGGGGCGCCGGACGCTCCATGTTCAGGTCATAAAGGTCGGCCCGATTTTGCCGGCCTATTTCGAGCACGTCCTCAAACCCCAGCGTGGTAATCAGCGCAGTGCGGCCGCCCTTACCCTCCAGCAGGGCGTTGGTGGCCACCGTGCTGCCGTGCACGAAGTCGGCATCGGGGATATTGACGCCCGTGTCCTCGATGCCCCGGGTTATACCCAGTGATGGGTCAGCCGGCGTTGAAGGCAGTTTGTGAACGCTCAGGCGACCGTCTTCCAGGACGGCAATGTCCGTAAAGGTACCGCCGACATCAATGCCGACTACGGTTCGAGACATTTGTCAGTTTACCTGTAGGGTGACGCTGTGGTGTAGAGAAGGAGATGCAATGCTAAGGAGCATACAGTCTGTCGTACCCTATTCCAGTTCGATGCGAAGGCGTTTGTTGATGCGACCCTTGCTTTCGTGGCCGACCACCTTGATGCGTCCTACCTCGCGGGTGTTGCGGACGTGGGTTCCGCCGTCAGCCTGCAAATCGAGCCCCGAGATGTCGATGGTTCGAACTTCCTTGATGCCAGCGGGGAGCAGATTTATCTTGGTGCGGATCAGGTCGGGATGAGCGTCGGCGTCGGCCCGAGTCATTGAATCGACCACAATATCCCTTTCCCGAGCCACTTCCTGATTGATGCGCGCTTCCACCTCGCCGGCGAACTCGGCAGTCATATTTTCCAGCTCAAAATCCATGCGCGCCGCACCGGGCCGCATGTCGCCGCCGGTAACGTGGGCGCCGTAGTCGCGCCAAACCACGCCGCACAGGATGTGCAACGCCGTGTGAGTCCGCATCAGCAGGTAGCGACGATCCCAATCCACCTTTCCATGCAACTCGTCGCCGGGATCTGGCCGCGCATCGCCTTCCAGCGTGTGCACAATGGCCCCGCCGGAACGGGCGACCTTGACCACTCGGTAGTTTGCACCACCGGCATCCGACAGCGTTCCAACGTCGCAGGGCTGGCCGCCGCCGCCAATGTATAACGCGGTGCGGTCTAGCACCACGCCCCCATCGTCGGTAAGGTCGATAACGGTGGCCGTGAACTCGCTGGCATAAGCGTCGTTCAGGAACAGCAGCTCGGTCATTTTGGCTCCACTATTGCCGGTGTTGGGAGCGAGCAATCGCATCAATCCGGCGCCGTGCTCAATGTTGCTGGGGATATTATATCAACGGCGGGGCCGGCAATCTCCTACGTGATATACTTTGGACAAATCTACCCAAAATTAGGCCAAATATGAAACTGTCCTGCCTCCAGGAAAACTTGGCCCGCGGTCTGTCGACTGTGGGTCGTGCTGTCGCTAACCGCTCCACCTTGCCGATAACGCAAAACGTGTTGCTGAAAACCGACCAGGGGATGCTGATGCTGTCGGCAACCAATCTGGAGATCGCCATCACGACCTGGATCGGCGCGATGATCGAAGAAGAGGGGGCGATAACTGTCCCACACCGTCTGCTCGCCGATCTGGTCAACTCTCTGCCCAGCGACCGCATCGACCTGGATTTGCAAGGGCTCTGATGAAGATGGAGAAGCGACCGGCGGCAGTGTGTTTGCATCTGTCCTGCGGCCGCTCGGTCACTCACATGAACGGCGCTGACGCTGCGGATTTCCCACCAGTGCCTAAGGTAGATTCCGGTCTGTCCACGGACATCGACGCCAGTGTAATGCGCACCGGAATTGCGCTGGTAGCATTCTCGGCGGCATCCGACGAATCGCGGCCGGTGCTCACGGGGTTGAACTAAAACTGCATAAGTCCAACGTAGTGATGGCTGCCGCCGACGGTTTCCGCCTGGCGGTGTACAGCAACCAGATCGCGCAACAAATTGCCGAGGAAGTCAAGGTAATCGTCCCGGCCCGCACCATGCAGGAGGTGCAACGGCTGGTTTCCGATCAATCCGCCCCGATCCGGGTTACGCTCTCGCCGGAGGGCGGGCAGGTGATGTTCAAGCTCGAAAACGTGGAGCTCGTATCCCAGTTATTGCAGGGTACTTTCCCCAACTACGAGCAGCTGATCCCCGAACGCTACGAAACCCGCGCCGTGATGGAACTGGACGACCTGAAAACGGGCCACCCAATCGGCAGCCGTGTTTGCCCGAGATGGCAGCAACATTGTGCGTCTGGAGATGCAACCGGAAGAGTCCAGCGAAGGCGGTCGGCTCAAAGTGTCGGCCCGCTCCGAAGAGGTTGGCGACAACCTGGACGAACTGGATATTGAGCAGATGGAAGGTCAGGACGCAAAAATCGCGTTCAACGTGCGGTACCTGCAAGACATTGTAAACGTGCTGGGCCGCGGCAAAATCGCCATCGAGGTAACCAATTCATCCAGCCCCGGCGTATTCCGGTCGGCCGACTCCGACAGCTACGTTCACGTCGTAATGCCGATGTACGTCCAGTGGTAGTTATTTTTCCGGTCACCGTCATGGTGATCGACACCTTCCCACGGAGTGCTAGCACTCGGACGTCAAGGACGTTCAGCAGCTCTTGCTTGCCCGAGAAGTCGAGGTCGTCTATCCCCTCGGCAAGTTGACGGCAACGCTCCCTCACCGATGCCTTGATAATCTCGGCGTCAGCGGCCAGCGCACGTTGCTTCTCCAACTGTTCCAACGTGCGTTGGCATTCCTTGCGCAACTCCCTCACCGGAGCGACCTGATTCAACAGCGTTTCTTGATCGATCACTTCATTGCCGAACAGTGCCAAGTATCTCGCCTCTTTTGCCTGGCAGTCGCGGATCTGTTTCTTCAATCCTCCGACCTGTTCGGCCAAATCACCGTCGCCCGTCTCCAGGAATGCTCCAGCTCTGTCATCATAACGTCCGGATTCTTCAGTGCCAGCGCAACCCCGCCGAACACCGTCTCTTCCAGCATGTCCGCCTCAATGTAACTGGCGTCGCAGATCTTCCCCCGTAGCGCCGTTGATTGAGTCCCCCTGCAACGGTACTGTCTCTTGCCGCCCATCCTGCTACCACCGCAGATTGTGGTGCCACATTTTGGGCACCTCGTGTGGCCAGTCGCCAGATAAGTCTCGGGACCCCTGTTCTTAGCCTTAGGCATTGCTCTCCGACGTCGAGCCGCTTTGAATATCTCACGTTCCAAGATCGCAGGAGAAAACCCTTGGATCCAAATCCATTCGCTCTCTGGCCGAAGTTCTCGCTTAATCCTCCGCCTCTCCTGAGGTGTGTTGCGGTTCTCGTAAACCACGCGGTACCGGTACTTTCCGTACACGTCCCACCCGACGTACGACCAGTGGTCCAGAATGTTCTCCAAAGTCCGCGGATCCCAGCGACGGCCTGTTTTCGTAGGTATGCCCCTGTCGTTCAACTCATTCGCGATCGGGTATGAACCCCACCCCTCTACCCACAACTGGAAAATCAGACGAACCACCGCCGCCTCCGGTTCGTTAATCGTGCGTTTCTTGGTTTCCGGGTCGTAGTCGTAACCGAATATCCCGTGAGAACCAACGCCGATGGGCAACCGTCCAGACATCGCTATCTGCCTCTTTCCCCGCATCGTCCTCTCAGCGATCTTCATGCGCTCCTGACCGGCCGCCCAGCCCAAGATAAACATGACCAGCCTATCCTCTGGAGAATTCCCCGACGGACCGTGCAAGAACAGCACCATCGCGCCAGCTTCCCGAAGTTGCTCACACATAGTCATCAGCAACAACGGATCCCGAGCAAGTCGGTCAGGGTCGAGTATCGTCACGACCTCTACTTCTCCCCTCTGTACTGCAGCTAACAACCCGCTGAAACCGGGCCTCAACGAAGCAACCCCCGGTATTGTGTCCCGCCAGATGTGTTCGTCCGACACCCTGTACCCTTGACGTTCCGCGAACGCCCGGCACTCTGCGACCTGGGTATCAAGCGAAGTACCGTCTCTTTCCTGGCCGTCAGTGCTTACGCGAGCGTAGATCGCGGCCGCAATCAACAATGCGTTCAACATTTCCATCTTTCAAAACCTCATGCTTGCGTTGCGTCTCTGCCAATCAATTGTCCGAAGGCTCGTTTTCTTCCGAAGCGACATGCTCCTCCACGACCGTATACCCAAGCGCTTTGGCGAACCGCGCGCACTCCCTGACCTGCCAGTCCAACGTCGCGTGATCCAAGTCTTGACCTTCTGCGTTGACCCGGGCATAAACCGAATCGCACATTTTTATCTTTTTTCAGTCCGCCGTTCGCTCATCAACCATCTTTAACCTCCTTGGCCATCGAGAAACCAAGCGTTTGGGCGACGCAAAACAAAACAAAAAAAAACCCACAAAAAAAAAAAAAAAAAAAAAAAACAAAAAACAACCAAAACCAACCACACCCAAAAAACAAAAAAACACAAAAAAAAAAAACAACCAAAAACCACGAATGGTCGGACTCAGCGTCGATAGCATCCGATGGCCGTCGCCCGATGCCCAGTTAGTCGCGCATTAGCATTCCCTGGAACCAACGCCGGCGGTATGTGCTAGGCGGTCCGCCCAACACAACGACTCTGACCTCCCACTCTCCGTGCGCATACCAACCGGTGTCCATCAACACGTTCCGGTCATCGCCATCGGAACCCACTCCAGTTTCAGGCTGCACGCCCGGCGAATCGCCGGCAATTTGCCCATCAAAACCGGTTGAGGTATCTTTAAGAAAGACCGGCTCAGGAATCACCTCTGCTTGGTCATGGGCCGCGGTGTAGGGTAGTAACTCCCGCGGCTCCATTAATTCCTCGGGCCGCTTACGGCCCCATCGCTTTCTATCCATATTTTTCTCCCTCTGACTGTCGGTCGCTCTATCCGAGTCCGACCAGCAGCTCCAATTCGCTGCACGCGAATGCCTGCGTGCATTGGGCGACCAACATACGACCAGACAAAGAGCACCGAATTTCCAGCCCCTCATCCGGCGCACGACGGGGTCTTTCCCACGGTCGCTCGCCAAAATCTTGTGTTCTGACATTCACCTCCTCGTAGATTTACGCGAAGCAGCGCATGACGCCGTTCACACGGTAAAATGCCCACCACGTAGCAACTGTCGCGTGACGCCCAAACTATAGCAGCCTCAGCCTCATCAACATACCGCTGAGTGTCATCAAATAGCCCTGGTCTAGGCTACGTATCACCTCCTCATCCAATAGCCCTAGGCATTCAATGCGTGGGACCCGGGACGACACCTATTCCGAAAAGTTCGGTTCGCTCTTCGTCGCCAGAATCACCCGGGCTCCGACTCGTTTTGACCAAAGTGAAATATCCGTTTCCCTCTTCGATCCAATCAGGGCTCTCTTTGACGTATCTCAGCAGGGTTGCGCGGACACTCGGGAGTTTGCCCCTAGTCAGACTTGATTGCACGATCAACTTGGCGGCGTCACGAACACGCACACGACCACCTGGCGACCGGCCAGAACCTTCAGTGCTTCCCGTTGATTCCTGCATTGGTCGATCTCAGCAATGACGGGCTCGGGGTCAACAACCACCAAGACTCCTTCGGCACGGGTAGCGACCCTATGCAACGCCGCCCGAGCTCTGGTGACGTCCGCCAACTGCTCTCGCAAATACTCAGCTTTATCATCAAGTT